CAGAGTAACAGAGAAAGACGGTTATTGGCAGCAGGTGGGCATTGTTGGCAGGTGGTTGACTCATGCCTTCAGTGACCACGGCACCCTTAATCCTAGGAGTGAATATTTTATATGATTTTTCAAAGGCAGGGACGTGGATACCAGCAGGAAGGTGCCTTAGCTTCAGAGTTTAGGAGAGGAGCCTCTTCTGGAGCGTGGGATGTGCGTATCTTATCTCCTTGACGTGGCTCAGTGAGAGCTGAAGTGTGGTGGATCCAAACAAGACGCCCGGTGATCAACGCTTCTGTGTTGGTTTAGCAATCCGTGTTGATTTTTTTTTTTTCAATTGGCAAAAGGGGATTTATTGAACCAGCATGCTGGGGCTCCGTGCCCACTCAAGAAGGGAAAGCAGCCCAGAGCCCCGAGCAGGGGCTGAGCACTGCTTAAGTACACTTCCGTGTTGATTTTTATTGTGTATTTCTGGCAAGAACCCTTCCAGGTGTGATCCTGTAACTTGGGACTAGGGAGTTCTGGGAAGGAAGGGTTTGTGCATTCCTAGCTGGCTTTAGTGTGCAGTTACGCTGTAAAAGAGTAGGCAGAAATGAAGAGAAACTTCTGATAAGTGGGTCTAGATGATGACAGGTGGGGTCAGGGGGTGTGCTTTTAGTTTGTGGCCAAATTGTGAAACTACACAGACACAGATGCAGAAAAGTCCACATATCAGGAGATTCTTGCTTGATGTTATTGTGCAAAGTGAACCACTCATACAGTTGCCAACCAGATCAAAACCACAGCATTGCAGGAGCTCAGAACCCCTCTTCTTCCTGTTGCAGGCATCCTCTTGGCCCCCACGTCTCACCTGACTGACTATACTGCTAACACTTTTCGATTGAACTTTTTTCCCCCTCAGTACTGGGGATTGAACCCTGGGGTGCCTTACCAATGAGTTACATCCCCAGTGGGCACCCCCCTTATTTTTGGATACTGGGGATTGAACTCAAGGGCACTCAACCACTGAGCCACACTCCAGCCCTATTTTGTATTTTATTTAGAGACAGGATCTCACTGAGTTGCTTAGTGTCTCACTGTTGCTGAGGCTGGCTTTGAACTTTCAATCCTCCTGTCTCAGCCTCCCAAGGTGCTGGGATTACAGTTGTGCGCCATTGTGCCTGGCCCCAGCCCTTTTTAATTTATATTTTGAGACAGGGTCTTGCCAAGTTGCTGAGGATATTGCTACATTGCTGAAGCTGGTCTTGAACTTGCCATCCCCCTCTTCAACCTCCCAACTTGCTGGGGTTATAGGCATGCACCAATGCACCTGGCAAAATTAAATTTAAAAGGCTGCGGATGTAGCTCAGTGGTAGATTGCTTGCCTAGCATGCATGAAGCCCTGGATTCAATTCCAGCATTACAAAAAAAGGGGGTGGCTGAGAGAGTGAACTAGAGAGATCCTTAAGAAGTGGTCCACAGCTGGGTATGGGGGTGCATGCCTGTATTCCCAGCAACTCAGAAGACTGAGGCAGGAGGATGGGGAGTTCCAGGCCAGCCTCAGCAACTTAGCAAGACCCTATCTCAAAATAGAACATAAAAAAGGGTTCAGTGGGGGCTGGGGTTGTGGCTCAGCGGTAGAGCGCTAGCCTCGCACGTGCGGGAGCCTGGGTTCGATCCTCAGCACTACATAAAAATAAATAAGTGAAATAAAGGTATTGTGTCCAACTACAGCTAAAAAATAAATATTTTTAAAAATCCTTGGATTATAAAGGATAAAGGATAGAGATGGAGAGGTGCACAGGACCAGGTATGGAGAAGGGATGCAGTGCTTCCTGACTCCCTTGGCATGCTACCCTCCAGGAACCTCCTCCTGAGAGCAATAGATTTTTAGGTAACAGGATACGAAGAGTTTTTCACATATGTTCAGTTTCCACAGTGTAATTAAGCCTCAGGAAGCTCCGAATCCTGTCTAGGCACTCCAGCAAACAGCCCCAGAGAGGGGCCACCCATCGGCCAGCATCAGGCCTCAGACATGTGAGGACAAGTCTTCAGGGCATTCCCCAGCCCAGCCTAGGTGCTGCCCCTGCTTTCACGAAGTGGACTCCAGGAGAGATTTCCCCACCCAGATCTGCCCCAGCTGCAGATCTGTGAGCCAAATATAGGAAGTGTGGGAATGGTTTGTTACACAGTGGTAAAAATGAACATGAAGTCTTAGAATTAAACCAATGATTTGGTTTTCCCCACAAAAGGTAGAACCTCCTTTAACTACACCAAAAGAACATTAGTGCAATAAATGAGCTCATGGGTTCACAACAAGACAAATGCTGCCAGCAAGAAGTCCACCGTTGGGTACTTCCTCATTGTAAACAATGGCATTTATTTTCTGACAGTTCTATATATTCATTATAGGAAATTCCGAAAAATAAGAATTTTAAAAAACAACTGTTAATAATTTGGTCCTTTTGGTCTTCTTCTATATATTGAAGCTTATATTATAAAATATGAGTCACGCTTAAAAGAAAGAGTGATCTTGGTCCATCATCAGGGATCATGCTTAGTTCCTTGTCAGGCACACACCATGGACGTTAGAGAAGGCGTGCTGGGGAGTGTCTGGGATGGCCATGACTATGGCCACCTGGAGTAGTCACTAGTGACACATTGAGTTCATCCCCGGGGTAGCCAGCGTTGCCTGGTGAATAATTGCTGTCAGGGGTGGGACACAGCTTAGAGGGTGTCCTGTCTCCCACCCCTATGTCAGTGGTAGGGAGGCTGGGGTTTGCTGGTGGACACAGCCCCTGATCTCTGCTCCCTGCAGGGGATGTGCCTTTGAATGGTACCCAATGACTGTTCACATCACACATGTGCATTATGCAAAAGCGCTTCCTCATTTGGAAACACTCAAATGAAAAAATGGAATTTTGTTCAAAACTCACTCTCATTCACTGAAGAATTTTCAACATTATGTTTGGAAGTTGAAAGACAAGGGAGAGCTTTTAAATTCTTTCATGTGAGCAAGCATAAATTTTAGCATGTAAATGTGGTTTTAAAATGTTATTGCCTATTCATGAGAGTTTCTTTTTTAAAAATATTTTTTAGTTGTAGTTGGACACAATATCTATTTAGTTTTATGTAGTGCTGAGGATTGAAGCCACTGCCTCACACGTGCAAGGTAGGCGCTCTACCACTGAGCTATAGCCCCAGCCCTCATGCAAAGTTTCTTGTTTAAATAGAGTCTATAAAATTTAAAAAAAAACATTTGGTCAAGGATATCACATAAAATGCTCAAAACAGATGTGACAACAAAGCAGATCTGCTGGTCACCTCCACCGGGTTAGGAATTGAAGCACCTTGTAATAGGTTTGTCCATTTCATGCACAAAACCTGTTTTACACAACAGTTAAAAGAGTTAGTTGGGATGTTAGAGATATGTTTATGCTATGTTTGTTTTAAAGTTATTTATTTATTGGTATCAGGGATTGAACCCAGAAGCACTTAACCACTGAGCAACATCCTAAACCCTTTTTGTATTTTATGTTGAGACAGGGTCTTGCTAAATTGCTTAGGGCGTCAATAAATTGCTGAGGCTAACTTTGAACTTGTGAACCTCCTGAGTCCTGGGATTACAGGCGTGAGCCACTGCTCCTGGGTGCTGGAGATCTAACTCAGGACCTGGTGCATGCTAAGCATGTTGCTCTGCCCCTGAGCTGCACTCTACAACCCCCGAAATAACATTTTAATTACAGGCACATATGCCCCCCATCTCCTTTGTCCCCAACGTGTCATATAGGATGCACATGACAGAGGCTGGACCCTGGCTCAAGTTTCCAGGCCAAAGAGTCATAGACATGTGCTCAGCCCACTAGGGTCTTAGTTGAGCTCGCCCTGTGTTTACAAGATTCTTCTCAGTGCTTGGGTGATGTAACCATCATGAGCATCAGCTTCCTTGGGGAGAATGACGACTGTACTTGTTTTTACCCTCTTGTTTAAACTGTTGCTTATTTTCAAGTTTTTTCTTTTTCTTCTTGTTTCACCCAAAACAAAGCAAAGCAAACCAAATAGGTCCAGAGCTCCTGCAGCTGAGCTGCTCTCTTACCTCCAGGGGAACCAAAACTTCTTCTGTTTATTTGCTTTTAATATTTTTAGCATGTTTTGGAAAAACTTCTTTTCAGTGAGTGAGGTGCTTTTAAATTTATTTATTTATTTATTTTGTACTGGGGACTGATCCCAAGGGTACTTTACCCTCGAGCTCTTCTGATTTTTTGAGATAGGATCTCGCTTAATTAATCTGCTGAAGCTGGCCTTGAATTTGAGATCTTCCTGCCTCAGCCTCTCGAGTGGCTGGGATTACAGATCCTGCTGCACCGCCCCTGGCCTTGTTTTGGGTTGTGCGTGCGGGTGTGCCTGCTGGGAATCAAGCCCAGGGCCTCAGGCCTGCTGGGCGAGCGGTCCTCCACTAAGCTGCTCCCCAACCCCTCCGTGGGTGTTTGAAATGCAGCTCCCGCCCCACACTCCCTGCTGGAGCCTCCTACTCCAGGACCTCGGGACAGGTGGGGGCACGCGGTGTCACCAGGGGTGCTCGCCTCCCCTCCCCCCAGTCTGTCCCAAGCCGCGAGCTCCTCAGTCCGGGACACTTCATGGGGGCTAGAAACGAACGGTCGGGAAAATTTTGACCGCTATCGTTTCCCCGAGAGACCACGGGGTCCCCGGGCTCCCCAGGAGCAGACGCTGGCGGCAAGGTCGGAGTCGATACCCGGGTTCACGCCCGAAGCGGGCGGGCGGTCAGCCTCCCAGCCCCAGCCGGGGAGAGGAGAGACGCGGTCGGCGGGACGCGAAGACGCCCAGGGCCTCCTGCCAGGTCCCCGAGCACCGGCGCCTCCTTAAGTCTGCGGCTCCGCCCTGCCGGCCCCGCCCGCCCGCGGTTCCTCCCAACCGCCGAGCCCCTGCCGTCTCGGCGGAGTGTCGCGGAGCCACGAGCCTGCGAGGAGCGCGCCGCCCGCCCGGTCCCCGCGCCTGGACAAGCGTCCCCACGTCCCGGATCCGCCAGCATGGCCAGCGAGGAGCTGGCGCGCAAGCTGCAGCGCCGGCTGCGGCTCCAGGAAGCTGAGGAAGGCGGCCAGGGCGACCCCCAGCCTGCGCCCCTCGCCGTCCCAGCCCCGAGGCTGGAGCCCGAGCCCGAGCCTGAGCCCGAGCCCGAGCCCGAGCCGCCCGCCAGAGCGCCCACAGCCAGCGCTGGCGCGGAGCTGAGCGCCCAGCTGAGCCGGCGGCTGGACATCAACGAGGGCGCGGCGCGGCCCCGCCGCTGCAGGGTCTTCAACCCCTACACCGAGTTCCCGGAGTTCAGCCGGCGCCTCATCAAGGACCTGGAGAGCAAGTTCAAACTGTGAGCGCCCGCGCCGTGCACCCCGTGCGCTGCGCCCCCGGGGCCGGGCCCAGGACCCGGGAGGAGGGCGGGGGTCCGGGAGGAGAGGCAGCCGGGACAGGAAGGAGGTGCAGGGGCCCCGGGGTGCCCTTAGCGTTTGAGCCAGCGGAGCCGGGTCCTGCGCGCCGGTCTCTCCCTGCGCGGTGGAGGGACCTTCCCGCCGGGAGTCTGAGAGCGGGAGCCCTTTGCACCAGGACCGAACCCAGAAGTTGCCCTGGGGCCACCAAGCGGGTGTTCCTGGCTCCGGGGCGGGTTCCGCCCCCTCCGCGCGCAGGTCCCGAGATCGCACTGAGCCCCTCTTCTAGGAAAGGAGCCGCGCCGGGGCGCCTCACCTGCCAGCTCGATCTTCATCCCCAAGGGGGAATTAGCCCCTGTCGTCCTTCTGTCTTTTAAAACAAAAGGGGAAAGTGAATGCTTGGCTGCCGCGGGGTCCCAGGTACCCGCGGGGCTGAGAACTTAGCAGTTCCCGGGAACGCGAGCGGCGCGGGAGCCTCCTGGGGGCGTCGCCAGGTGGCTCCCCGCTTCCTGCCTGTGGGGCCCGAGGTGTGGGTCAGAACCGGCCTTGGCCGCTGGCTGCATTTGCGCCTTGCTACGTAGTGAGCGGGGGATCGCCCACCTGGGGCACCTGGATCCCGCGCACCCGGCGAAAGAGGCGGCACGAAGGGACTTGTCGCCTGGGACCTCCCTGTCCTCACTCTTCTCATCTGGAGAGTGGGAGCAGTAATAGTCCCTTGCCTTTTAAGGCCATAAAGTATTTTGCACACCGTAAGCTCCTACCGAGCTATTAATATTATTTCCAGAATTGGGCCGAGACCGGAAAAATTACTGGGGGAGCGCAGGCCGCCGGCCAGGTCCTGCCGGGGCGTCTTTAAAGGCGCTTGGAATGTGTTTGTCCTCTGAGAGGAGGTTCTATTTAAAGGCGCTGTGGCGGGCGTTGTGGGGCAGGGAGCCTGAACTGCCCCTGTTCTGAAGGCTACCGAAGCGGCACCTGGGAGCCTCCGAAGGCTGAGCCTCCCTGACACCTAGATTTCTCTGTAAGCTGTCTGTGAGGCTGGTCGGTCCGCCCCCCCCTCAGGCTTGACAGATTCAGGGAGGGCGTCTGGGGCGGACCTTCATTTTCAGATTGCTGTGTGATCATCTGAGTTTCTACCCTCTCTCCTTCATTTCTTTCACTCTTCCTGCAAAACCGTCTTAGGAAGGGTAAGTTTGTTAGCTGCCTAAGAGTAATGCAGGGGAGACCACCCGGTGGGAGGGCCCTGGGAGACCAAGCAAGGTGGCCTCTGTGAGGAAACAGGTACTGTACCAGCGTTCTGTGTCAAGCTAAGAGGAAGACAGTATGTGATCTGGGGTCCCGACAGAGTATAGAGGAACCTGTGCATAGTATTTCTCTTGAGCTATGACATTGGTTGGGTCTTCTGTCACTTGCAACAAATATTGGCATAAACAAAAGGGGAATTATTTGGCTCCTGAAACTAAAAAGCCAGCATCAGCTTCAAGTATGGCTGGATCTAGGAGCTCAAAGGATGCCATCCATGCTTTGTTTCTTTTTCTTTTTCTTTTCCTTCCTTTTTTTTGGTGCAGTGGGGTGGGGGGGGGGGGGGTTGAACCCAGGATCTCTCAAATGCTAAGCACACACTCTACCACTGAGCTACCCACACCCAGCCCTTGTTTCTATTTTTTAAAGCCACTCCCTCTCTGTGCTATCCTTATTCTAAAGTAGCTCATCCCTGGTGGTGGCAGTGTGGCCACAGCAGCTCCAGTAAGTCCACTGGGAAAGAGCATCCACGGCAGAGGCCTTGGTGTCTCACTCACTCGCAAGCACGGTAGCTCTACCGTTGTCTCCCTCTCCCCCTCTCCCCCTCTCTCCCTCTCTTTCTCTAGCACTGTACTGGACATTGAATCCAGGGTCACTCTACCCTGAGCTACGTCCCTAACCCTTTTTAAATTAAAATTTTTTTTGGCACTGGGGATTGAAACCAAGGGTGCTATGCCACTGAGCTACATCCCCAGCCCTGTTTATTTTTTGAGAAGGTCTCATTAAGTTGCTTAGGGCCTCGATAAGTTGCTGAGGCTGGCCTTGAATTTGTGATCCTCCTGCCTCAGCCTCCTGAGTTGCTGGGATTAGTTATGCACCACTGTTCTTGACTGCTATTGTTTCTTGTTGGCTCCTAACCAACTGCTGTAGTCAGGGAATTCATTGCTCTTGTTGGCCAGGCCACCTTGTGCCCCCCCACCCTTGAAGTGGGGGCATGTGTCCACAGCTGGAGTTCTCCCAGACCCTGCCCACCTGTTCTCCCCTCCCTGCCTTACCTTCAAGCGCCACAGCTCTGCCACAGCTCTAAGTAATCCCAGACTCCCCTATTCATCCGTGAACCCCAGGATCCCCCCAGGTGGCTCGTTGTCTTTCTCTCAGGGGGCTCCTGCCTGATGTGTGTACCTGAGCAACCACTGAGTCTCCTCCCTCTCCTCCTGCCACCCCATCGGGTCTCCGCATTCTGGATGAGTTTGCTGCCTGGACATTTCCGGTGCATCTGGTTGTAGCCCTCATTCCCCTCATAGAGGCCATGTGGCCGTGACCACAGTTGATGGACAAGTCCTGGTCTTCTGAAGTGCCTGCAGTGCCTGTGGTGGCTAGGTCATGCCAGTCCCCTGTGTGCCCCGCCCCCACGCCCACACCAGGGCAAGCTCCAGGCTCCGCCCCCCCCTCACATACCAGGGAAAGCTGCTATGGAGCTTGATACTGGGTGGCTTGCAGGCCGGGCCGGATCACCTGTCCTGTAGCTGGCCCTCTGTTGCTAATGACTTCTGTGGTCCCAGCTTTGCCTGTGGCCCAGCCAAGATACTTACTGAGCCCCGGGTTTCCTCTTCCTCTGCCTACTGTCTTTTAAAAGAGCTTTTAAAGAAAAAATTAGAAACAGTGTGCAGGCTTGGTGGCTCCCTTTTCCCAGGTTTCCCCGATGTGGATGTGCCACAGCCCCCCAAGGCTCTCTGGCACCGACCACACTGATATATCTGCAGCTGCCTTGACCACTGGCTGCTGGCCAGGCAAGGAAACCCCTGCCCAGGCCTCTGGGTCCCTCTGCAGCCTGCACTTCCCCTGAGGCCAGTGGCACTCATGCCAAGGCCTTCCCTGCTCAGGCTGTGTGGCGGTGTCCAACCAGCCAGCTGGTCCCTATGGTGCCTCTGCCCGAGACCTGAGCATGTTCTCTCCTTCCTTTCCCTTTTCCCTTTGGTTTCAAAAAAAAAAAAAAAAAAAAAAAGTTAAAGAACACACAACACAGCCGCGTGTGGTGGTGCTCACCTGTAATCCCAGCCATTTGGGAGATTGAGGCAAGAGGATCATGAGTTTAAAGCCAGCCTCAGCAAAAGCGAGGCCTTAAGCAACTCAGTGAGACCCTGTCTCTAAATAAAACACTAAATAAGGCTGGGGATGTGGCTCAGTGGTCAGGTGCTCCTGAGTTCAACCCTGGTACCAAAAAAGAAAGAAAGGAAGGAAGGAAGGAAGGAAAGAAAACATACAACATACCAACTTGTCACACTGTGAGTTTCTTTCTGAATTTTACTCATGGCAAATCAGTCCCAGGTGACTGTGAGGACCAGGGTTTGGGGGCCAGGCTTCCCAGGTTCACACTCTGGTCCCCCCCCTTGCTCCCTGGAGCACGAGGTTAAAAGCTTTCTTGCTTCAGATACCCCTCTGTTAAGTGGGAATAGAATAGGACCACCTCTCCTTGGGGATTCAGTGAATTAACTTGCATGAAGCAGTTGGCTCAGTGCTTGGCTTACGTCGGAGGCCCAGTCAGTTTTAGTCACTGATTTTCAGAACGTCACATAGCTATAATTGTGTGTGTGTGTGTGTGTGTGTGTGTGTGTGGTACTGGGGATGGGACCCAGGGGTGTGCTGCCACTGAGCTACATCCCTGGCCCTTTTGTAGGTTTTTGTTTTGTGAGGAGGATCTCGCTAATTGCTGAGGCTGGCCTTGCACACTCTGATCCTTCTGATCTTGATCCTTCTGCCTCGGCCTCCTGAGTTACTGGGCTGGTGTGCGTCCAGAGCTGTAATTTGGGGAAGTTTTGTGTTGTCCTTTTTTTAATAACTTACTTTGCTAGTCTCATTTTTCCTTTGAAGGTGATTGAACTTCTGCTTGAGCTGGGGAGTGGTGGCCTGGTCACTCGGGGGGTTACCTGTTCCTTTCAGAGTCCTTTGAAGGGACCACTAGTTCCAGTGCTGAGTCAGCACATGTGTTTTCTGGTGCTTTTGAACAGAGTGCCGCATGCCGGGAGCTTGACACAGCAGAGGCCGTTCTCTTGGTTCTGGCAGCTAACAGTCTTCAACCAAGGCCTGGGTGGGTCCTGCGCACTCCGGAGGCTCTGGTCCTTCCTTGCCTCCCTCCTCGCCTCTGGGGGCTGCTGGCAGTGCTTGGCATGCCCTGGTTTACAGAGGCAGCACTTCAGTCTCTGCCCCTGTTGTCACCTGGTGCTTTCTCCCTATCTTCGTCTCTGTCTTCACTTAGCCTTTCTTATAAGGACACCAGTTGCTGGAGTCAGGGCCCATCCTGGTCCAGCGTAACTTCATCTTGATCACACTTACATCTGCAAAGATTCTGTTTCCAGAGATGGTCACATTGTGAAGTTGTGGGTAGACATGAATTCTGGGGGGACGCTCTTCAACCCAGCACAGCAAATGAGCAGAGCTGCCCAGTCCTGGTGGCAATGTCTCTGGAGATGGGAAGACCCTCCCAGGAGGACCTTGATTTAGGAAGTTCAGAATCTCAGACTTCTCCAAAGCCAGCATGAGCCTCCCTGCCCCCCCTCCCCCACCCCATGGAGAACCAGCCTTCCCAACCCTGATTCAGATGGACTTGCTGCCCAGCCACAAGACAAACCCAGCGGAACTGAGTCCCAGCCCTGCAGGGCGCACACTTAGTTTCAGCAAGAATTTCACTTTTCAGCAGTTTCTAGAT